ATTTGGATGAAAAGACAAACGACAATTTAGTGAGATGCATTTGATGGCATCTTTTAATGTGTCATTTAGTGAGATGCATTTGGTGGCATCTTTTAATGTGTTTTCTTCTTCGGTAGTCGCTTTTTTCTGCTTGAACTTGAAGTCTAACCTTTATGTAACAAGGATGATCATAATGAGTTTTGCATGCTTTCCTCCTTAATGGGATCTCTCTCATTTGTAATTATGTAGGTGAATGATGGGATTGTGTGCAGGTTGGTTGACTGAAAATGAAATTGGATTTGTTCTGAGCTATGTTCTTTGTTGCATTTTTCCGTTGTGAAAGAGGTTTATTATCATTTCTGTGTTTCTACCTAATTCAGTAGGACTTCTATGCCATATTTAGCTATTTTCTATTTATTATACTTTAAAAAGTTGAGGAAAAAAGGTGTGGTTGCCTAATTGTTTTAGACGTTTAAGATTGAATACATAAACCTAGATTACTGCCTTGATGAGCGTTGAGAAGTTGTCGACTTTGTTTCTATATCTGAATCATTTTTTGTCCTTCTAATAAGATCTCTCAAGTTTGTTCTTGTCTTGATGTGTTTTTAACCATTTTGACGTATCAATTCTGCTGGCCCATTTCCCTATTGTAAGAATTGTTACATACATCTTGTACATGCATCAGTTTCAAGCAATTCAATGAGAAATTGTTTTTTAAAATTTGGTCTTGCAAGATTTGAAGCAGTTATGCTGCAGTGCACTCCATCTTTTGATTTGTGATTAGGCCTCTAATCAGATTATTCTAAACACAGGCATGGGGTGGGTGCCAATTGTTTGAAATCAAAACTCTAGAAAACTAGGAGATGAGAGCTCAGTAGTTTATGCATGTATTTCCAGGACAGGACCAGAGTGGAATATTTAAACTTAGTTACTTCAGGATGAGTTGTATTTCCCAATCACATGATACAATGTTTACTCGTCCTTTCCCTTTTTGGGTAGACTTACTGGTTTTCTATATCAATTAATTTAACTATTTCATTATATCTATGTATGTTTTTTTTTTCAGAAAAGGTAGGGAGAAGATATTTCTATCATTCTTATCAAAGCTTTGAGTAGCAAATCTAACTTGAGAGCCCATACCTAGAGAAAATACATTATTGTATAATGTTTTTGAATTCTTATGGGTTGAATTTTTTATAAGTTTGCTCTTGATTGCCAGAATCTACAACAACAACAATAGTATGAGAGAGAGGTTGCCCTTACTGAGATTGATTACAGCCGCAAAATATTACTGGAGAAGCTTAAGGACTACAAAGGAGAAGACTTGGAAGTGATACATGAGGCTTCCACTTTCGCTGGCGAAACAGTAGAGAACACCAACAGTCTCCTCCTTCCTCCATATCCAAGTTGCCCCCCACGGTCCTTGGTTTTGGACGGTGACTATTTGTCACGCTTAAAGTCAACAAGCAAGCCAGCATCAAATGGGGTCAGCATTAATGGTTCAACAAATGAAGCAAAGAAGGATATCAACAGGTACCAGAGAAATAAAAAACAAACAGAATCCAACAACTCAAGTAAAGGTTTGGGATGCATACTTATTACAGTTGCCAAGACAGTGCTTCCCCTTGGTGTGATTTGTGTACTGAGTTCATCTAACCTTGCCAAAAGAATCACCCCGCTCAAGTTTTTGAGCTTTCAACATCTAACAACCGAAGAAAAGAAAGCAACCACTAGATGTCCACCTGGGAAAGTCCTGGTGATGGAGGGTGGGGAAGCTCGATGCCTAGTTAGGGAGAGTGTTGAAGTTCCATTTGAGTTGATCATTGCAAAACCAGATGTAAATTATGGGTGTGGTTAATTTTGATTTGTTCATTGTCAAGTATATAACAATTTTGATCTGAGTCTGTCTACGCAATGAAGCTTTTCGTTCAAAAAGTTTATATTTTGATCTCTGTACATCTCCTAATATGTATCTTTTAGAGTTCCCGGTGACTGACTCTTGACATTACTGAGATTCTCAGGATTCACTTGGATTGTAACACTTGATGAGCAGAAAGCATAGGCAAAGCTAACCTCACCAGTTTATATTTTGAACACTGACATTATATTTTTATGGACCGACTATTTTCACTCAATGCGACCTCGCAGTCCGGCTTCTGCTATGCCGTCGTTAATGAGGCTGAAGAGTCCATGTCCTTGACATCTACAACATCTATGCTCCTCTATGCACCCAAGGAAACCTCACAAATTGCCCGCAGAAGCCTTTGGTGAGTTATTTGTTGATTTCTTGAATGAGGACTTTCGTCCAACTGTTGATGATCGTTCCTAATTTGCTCCCGTTGTGAGTGCAGGGAATTTTTTGATCCATGCACTGATAATTATGTTTCTGCTTATCTCAACCAGCCGAACGTTCAGGAGGCCCTCCATGCCAACGTTACGAGACTGAAATTTGACTGGCAACCTTGCAGCCAAGTTCTCAGGAATTGGCAAGATGGTCCATAGACAGTCATTCTTCTTCTGAAGGAGTTCATGGAAGCTGGACTCAGGGTCTGGGTATACAGTTAAAGAAAAGGAAAGGAGCAATTCTTATTATGATTATTATTATTATTATTATTATTATTATTTGAGTTTAAAACCTACAAATTGGTGGACCTCTAATCTTTTCAAACTTTGCAATAATAATCCTTTCCAGTGGGATATCTATGGAAAAGTTCTGGTGACTTCAATCAGGTCCTTGATTAACGTGATGAAGCTTCCGGCGAAAACTGCTTGGCATCCTTGGTTTCTCAAAGGAGAGGTAGGTGGCTATACACAGGTTTACGGCGGAGACTTGACATTTGCGACAGTGAGAGGGGCGGTACATGAGGTGCCGAGCTACCAATCCAGGAGAGCTCTTTCAGTTCCTGGCCGGCACACCTCTGCCGGCTACTTTGCAAAATACCAGATTTTCTGAATTAATTTTCTACATAACTTCTCAACTGAGAAGTAGAAATATTTCTAGTTGAAAAATTGAAATCACATATATAATATAGTACATGATTGATCTCAAAATCTGTAAAGAAAGCAACAAGAAACTTAATTCTATTTGCCTGGAAATGAAATAAACAGAGTTCACAGAGCTCATAATCAAAAACAGATTTCAGGATGTATCAAACTGCAAACTTCTTTACTCCAAATTGTTTTGAGATTGACTTTGATTAGTGTAAGCATAAAGTAATGAGAAAGAAGGTCACCATGACATTACCATTAGAGGTAATGATTATGGATTATCATTCTCTGTATATGTTCTTCAAATCTTGTAGCTCTATCTTGTACAAATGTGTTTGTACATCACTGATACTCTTTCCATCTGTATGTAGAAAATGTGAAATCAGCACAAGTAGAAAATAAAAGCTTTGGCAACAGCCTAATTTATGGTTCAGAAACATTCATAACAAAGGGAAAAAAACAATCATAATATTTACCCTAAAAAGATCTTGCAAGAGTTTATTGAACATCTGCCGTCCTTTTTAGGATTTAATCTGCAATTGCAGTGGAAAGGTTATTACGAGAAGAATCATACAGCTGTATGGCAAAGAAAGTAGTGCAACAAAAGTTGATCTAAACATAACCGAGAACATGAGAAGATTACCTATCTCCACACAGGGGATGTGGGCTATCCTCGATGAGTATGCTCCTTTCTTCTTCAAGCATTGTCGTTTTAAATGTTCACAGCTTCTGATACAAAATCTCCCAAGTGTTGCAGGCAGGCCTTCTCTTGGCAAGTGTCTCAGCTTTGGACATTCAAAAACTTCTAGATCTTCAAGAGAGGTCAGGTTTTGCAGTCCCGAGGAGAGAGATACCAGATTATTGAGTCTCGCAATGAAAATCAAAGTGAGGCTCCCAGGAAGCAAACAATTTTCATCCGGGAAGGAAGCTATATCAGGGGCACCAGCAATGATGAGCCCTTCAAGAGAGGTTAGAGAGTCTAGGTTCCATTCTGACATTGGTTCCTTCAGATTTATACAATCCCAGACCCCAAGTAACAAGAGTTGAGGGGGCAAACCACCACTAGGAAATGTCACAAGACATGGACACTCACAAACTGTTAGATATTGAAGAGAAGCAAGATTTTGCATCCTCTCCGGCAGATACTTGAGATTGACACAGCTGTAGATTTTCAATGTTCCCAAGGTGGAGGGGAGGCCTGTCTCCGGGAAGGAGATTAAAGCCGAACAGTTACGTATAATTAACTCAGTCAGATGTGACAACCCATGTAGCCAATCAGGCAAATATCTAAGAGTAGCATAGTCCCACATCTCGATGTTTTCAAGTGATGCATCGTTGTGTAGCAGCCGCTCTGAAAGTGGCTCCAGCTTTGAGCAATCCAAAATCTTTAGTGTTTTAAGACTAAACGGCAATGTGCCTTCAGGAAAGCAAGTTAGAGAGGGGCAATCATCAATCTCCAAGCTCTTAAGATGAGAGATGTTTGTGCTGTTAACATTCTGCATGATTCCTTCTGGTAGAGACTGCAGATCTCTACAACCTCGAATTTTCAAACCTTGCAACCCGGTAAGCAAGATACCTCTTGGAAAGGATGTGAGGGAAGGACATTCATCAATCTCCAAGTCTTGAAGAAGATAGTCAGTAGTCTTGCACAAGCAGCCTATCTCAGGAAAGGATAAAAGTTCTGGGCATGATTCAATTTTCAAACTTTTGAGAGACAATTTCTCCAAGTTGCCACAGTTCATCAATTCCATATCTTCCAAACTACAAGGAAGACCTTGCTCATTTACTACCAGAGACACAAATTTGGAGCAGCCCTCAATTTTCAGATGCCCAAGAGAAGCAATGTTTTTCAGCACAGTGCCCTTCTGCCACAAAGATATCAGCTCGGTGCAATTTGAAACCTCAAGGATTTGAAGTGCATCTAGAGACTTTAGCATCTCTTGTGGCAGACATGAAAGGTCCCTCATGCCCTGGATCCTCAATGTGGTTAGCAAAGTAAGATCAACAATATTTTCCAACCATACCTTGCTGCAATTTTCAATTTTTAATTCACAAAGGGAGGGCAGGCTCACACGTGAACCCCCCAATTTTGGGCAGTGACTAATGATAAGCTTCTCAAGGGAAGGAAGGCAGATTGGTAGGTTTCCAATCAGTTTTGGACAATCTTCAATCACGAGCTCACGAAGAGAAGGAAATCCATCATCCAAATCCACATTAGCTTCTTGAGGAGAAGACCAACATTCCCATTCTAACAAATTCTGAAAACATAGAATTTCCAAGGATGGAAACCACTTAGTAGACAGCAAATCATCTCCATAGAACTCAAAACCCACCTCTTTGACTCTGTCCATGCCTCGGATGAACACCTTCTTCAATGATGGCAGTCTCCCAAGTGTCGGAAGTGACATGCTTCTACTACAGCTACCGAGGTTTACTTGCACAACATTAGTGATAGAGGGAAATCCCAACCAAGATGGAAATCTTTTACCACCATAAAATGAAATACTAAGTTCTTTCAATTCCTTATTCGGTTGTAGCATTTCAAGAACATGCATTTCATCTTCTTCGTTTTGGTAAGCAAGGAACTCACTCCATTTCAAATCTAAGGCATCAAGGCCATGTTTATCCATTAGATTAGCATGCCTAGCATCTCGAACATCCACCACATTCTCCAACCCCATAATGCAAAACTCCCCTCTTAGATGTATCAAGTCCTTCAATTCTTTAATGCCAAACTGATTGTCCTTTCCCAAGATGAATTTGGACAAAATTTGAAGGTTTTTCAAATTACCAATATGCAATGGCATCTCCACTAATTTGTCAGTATCAGTAAGATCAAGAACAAGAAGGTTAATCAGATTTTCAATACCTTGTGGCAATTTAGCAAGCTCCTTGCAGCCATGCAATAAAAATGTTTGTAAGTTAAATAGGGAACCCACAGATTCTGGTAGCTGTTCAATTGTAGTGTAAGACAAATTAAGGTACCTCAAGTGCTTCAAATGACCAATAGAATATGGGAGTTCGTTGAAACGGTAGCCACTCAAACATAGCACTCTTACGTATCTTAATTCTGCCAGCAACTCTTGCAACACATCCTTGCTCATGCAACAACATGCTCCCCAAGATGATGTATCAATTGGTAATGCTATGAAAGTCCGTAAAGACTTCGCTGCATAAAATTCTTCAAATCTTTTGAAAATGTCATACTGGCGACGAGTGAATGACAAATGACGAAGCTTTTCAATACTTTCACTCAGTTTTTCCTCAAAATGAAAGTATATTTCTCCAGCAACAAATTTAGCTAGATCATTTATAAGGTCATGCATAACAAACAGTGTTTGCTTGCTATTTGATTGTTGGAAAAAAGACCTTGAAAGTAAATCATTAAAATATTCAAGACCTTTGTCCCACACTTGCTTTTCTCCCGTGGCTTGTTGTATTAAACCCTCGGCCATCCATAGCAGAACCAGCTCATTCTTGTCAAATTCATAGCCTTTTGGGAAAATGGCACAATAGGCAAAGCATCGCTTTAAATGGGATGGAAGATAACGGTAACTCAACTTCAGAGCAGGAATGACGCCACCTCTTTCTTCTGGTATCTCCCATATTTCACTCGTCAGTATATCATTCCACTCATCACAATCTGCTTTACCACGTAGGAGCCCACCTAGAGTCTTGGCTGCCAATGGTAATCCCTTGCACTTCTTCACTATCTCCTTGCCAATTCCTTTTAGAGTTGGGTATCCATCAAAATTATTAGCTCCAAGAGCATGTCTGACAAGCAGTGAAAGGCAAGCATCATCAGACAAGACCTGCAAACGGTGTACACCACATGTTTTCATGATAGATGCAACGTTTTCACTTCGAGTCGTTACAAGCACTCTGCTACCAGGTGCTCCTGCCATGAAGGGTCTACTTAGAACATCCCATCTTTCATAGTTCTCATTCCAAACATCATCTAAAACAATCAAGAACTTCTTTCTAGAAAGCTTCTCACGTAGCTTTACTTGAAGACAATTTAGACGATTTCGGTAATTGTCGTCATTGTCGTCATTGTCGTTGGAAGAGCAACCCTGCATGGTGACAGCCTGCAATAGAATCTCAGTCACCCTAACAACATCAAAGTCCTCAGAGACACAAACCCAAACCCTCAATTCAAACAAGTCTTTAACTTCCTCATCATTGTATACTAACTGAGCAAGCGTGGTTTTACCCACTCCCCCCATTCCCACAACAGAAACCACACCAATTTCACCAGTTTCAACATCCATCAACTTTTGAATAATCGCATCTTTATCCATTTCTCGACCATAAACCCGAGATTCATCAACAAGAGAACTCGTCGCCCGCTGCCTTTCCCTTCCTACTCTTTCCAGTCTCCCTTTAACACTCCTCTCCAACAAATTAAATGTCATCATCTCCGCAACAATGGCTTCAAATCTAACGGTGATACCTTCTATTTTAGGACCCATCCACGCACAAAACTTAACACCACTTAAATTCTGACCAGTGAAACAATTTGGGAAAAATAGGCATACCTTACTGCCGGTGCCTGTCATCCCAGTCTCCCTCAGAATTCTCTGGCGCTGGGCCTCAGTGGCAATTTCATCAATGATATCTTCAGCATCATATACAATGTCTCTTAAATCGCTGAGCCAGAGCTTCACCACTCGACTGACCATTTGCTTATCTTCTGCATCATCGAGAACGGCTTTGATCTTTGGTAACAGCATCTTCCACTTGTTGAGTTGGGACAAAACTTGGTCTTGCCTGGCAAACTTGAGAAAGTTGGAGTCAATTAATCGCTCAGATATATAATCCCACATGGAAGAGAGCATTGCATCAAAAGCACTGGATGCTACAGCTTCCATTGAAAATGAATGAACCAGAAATCGAAACCCAAAAAAAAAAAATGCAGAGGAATCGAAACCAAAAAAAATGCCGAGTAGGGTTCGGTTTTCCTCCAACTAAAAAACTCTGCGAAGAAATCTTAGTGCGTAGTACACGCAAAATGACACCTTAGCCGCCGTCCACCTTCCCAAAGTGAGTCTGATTC